GGTGTTCTTATCATATCGGAAGCTTTTACATCTCTTCAATTGAAAAGATTAGTTTAGTTTAGACTGTTGAAGAATGGTCTTTGAGAAGTCTACTCATCTAAATTTTCAGTGCTCTTACAAGTAACAGAAACAAATTTATAAATCAATCTGAGCTTTCTATCAAAACTTTAACACATCTATTGACACCTCTATTGTTTGATTCTTCCCTTTGAAGTTCAGTAGATGAATACATAGAAGCAAGACCCGATCTTTACTGCATATGCGGTGATTTCGGCCTTGCCTACGGTGCTCACTTTCTTTGGCGAGCTCTATTCTTAGAATTCACTTCTTTCGCCATATTGGCGAGACCAGGAATAACGAAAGGTCTCAGTCAATTTTGCTGATACTATTTCGTAACGCTTACCCAGAAGTAGGGGGCTAGATTTTGTGAATTTCTATTGATTGTCCGATTATGCCTCATCAGAAGTTTCAAGATTTAGTCCGCTTTTTTGAACTTCAGGCTGAATAGGTTATCTAAGTTAGGTTAGGATAATCTTTTATCATCCTTCCTTCGTCTAAGAGAGTTTATCTGTTATCATAGGCCTAATAGTCCGCTTATTGAGTATCAAATTACGTTGAATAAGAGGTCATTAATAATTCTATCTCGTATTATCTAGAAAATAGTTGAATCCTCTGTTTATAACAAAGCTACTCACTTCATGCGCACAGCGCTAATGCGCAATCATTCAAAAGTCTGAAAATGCAAAAAAAAAAATTCGCAACGCTACTTCTATAACTAGATGGTATTGAGCTCAGCTCGTTATATACTTCTTGCAACGTTCATCACATCAGTTGTCTATGTTGTCGAGAGCAAAGCTACGTAAGCAATCAAATTTTCTATTATAATTTGCGATGAAGTTTTTAAAACTTTCTCCAAACTTTACATGTGCAAAGGGTATATCAAATATTTGATGAGCGCCTCACCATTTTATATAATTTTACAGTGTCAATTTTCACCTTAATTATTGGACTTAGAGATCGTTCACAGTTTCATTTAGGGAT